CTGATCACCTGAAGGCGACACGCGTCCTCGTGTAGTGGGTAGGAACGGTCCCTATCTATATAACAACGAGGATGTCGCGTGATCATAAATTTTACTGACTTGGCCAGGCTGGTGGTGTGGCCGGATGGTGGAGAGGACAAGCACGGGGGATTGTAAGGTCTTGCGCGGCGCCACCTGTGTGTGTGTGTGCATGTTACCTGGGATCGAGACCTGTCAGGGTCGGAAATTCTTTCGATGGTGGAAGGTAAGAGTGCCCCCAGTCGATGGGACGGTGGTGACCTGGGATAAAATTGACCTGCGCGCTGACCAGGAATATGATTTGAGCCACCATTGATCTGGCAGATTCCGTTGGATGCTGGTGGTGGGTGCTGAACCTGAGCGATCCACTGAGAAGTTGACTAGGGTGACTGGATGAGGGTGGTGCCCCGAAATACCGGGGAAGGCAGGGTTTTGCAGGGTAGCGCCCGCAGGTTGAAGATATGATCCCCCTGTCCCACACATCATACATACATACGCACATCGGGTCAAGTACCCAACCACCTACACGCGCATCCTGACGACAGCATGACACACTCATCACTGGTTAGCTTGCCAACGCACACACCCCCTCTCCACCACCGCCGCCCACCCGATGATAGATGGATAGATGGATACCCGCAATGCAATCCTTTTGCTGTGTAATGTAATCCTGGGCGGATATCCAACAGATGCTGTGGTCCGGGTCCGGGAGCTAACCGTCGGGAATCCTGTGAACGGAACATCCTTGCTTGGATACAAGGTCCAGTTCTTGCGCACAGAGTAAGTGGTAGTAGTGTTCCCGCGCACCTGATGTTGCGTTCACAGTGCGTACAGCATTATTGTACGGTACTGTACGGCACTGTACGGAAAACACAGAATGTGATATAGCGCGGGCCTGCGCCCTGATGGGATGGGATGTCGATCCATAGGGGTTTCGCGATGCGTCATTGTTGCTACTGTTGCTGCTGCTGCTGTGTGTGTTTGTGTGTGTGACAGCAGCCGCCACCAAGCTTTGCTTTCTAGCCAGCAGTTTACATACATACAGTCATATCGTACCTGAGAGTGCGCACGTGTTTTGTTTATTCCTCTAAGCATGCGACAACGAGGAGAATGTACACACGAACTTACGAATGCATGTACGACACGCAGCTCGGAGCGTGTACGGGTCAGTGTGCCGGAGGTCCCGGAATCCCCGGCCGCCTACGTGCTGATGTCCGACCGAGGCTACACAGCTTCGGTGGGTGGGTTGCAGAGTTACAAATGTTCCGTGACCATGTGTGTGTGTGTGGGGGGGGGTTGTCCGTCCGTAAAAGCCGGGGGGGGCCCATGCAGCTCCATCAGCAAGTGGACATAAGCACGGGACTGTTGCATGCGATGCATGGACATGGCGATTAGCTTACAACATGCGCTAGGTGGGAGCATACGCATGTTTTGCGCGTCAAAGCAGGTCAAAAGCAGTGGCTCCCGAAGGATTCAGTTTTGGCGGTACGGCGGGTGCAGGAGGTGCGTTCGTGGTTGGTGGCCACCTGCTGTGAGGTGTATTGTGCACGTGTGTGCCTTGCATAGTTCTAAAACCGGTGTACGTGTATGTGCATGTGTATGTATGTGTGTGCATGTCTGCCGTCCCCAGCTAGCCAGGTAAGGACTGAAATTGCTGATGAATGAATGCAAGGGTCGTTGGCACAGCAAACAGCGTTATCGACCAACACAGTGCAGGGACCAATAATGTTCGTTCCACACCTAACCCCATATGGTGGCTGGCATAAAGGTCTATCTCTACCATGTCGACGCACGGCTGTTCTGAAGCAGTGGATTGATTCCTGTCCTGCTGTGTCGTAGCTGTACATAGTACGGCACACTCACATATCGTTTACGTACAAATACGTGCTAAGGCGCTCCACCAGCATCTTGAGAGCGGCCCTTTCAGCGAGGCCTGCAGCTACCTGACCAGGATTGCCGTACATGCTGTCGTATTTCCATTGATTGGCACGCGCATTATCCGATAATATAATGCTGACGAATATGATAAAGTCCTCATCCTTTTGTTGTACAAAACACTGCCATATGTACGGCAGGACCCTTAAGCCACAGCACATGTAATGAACGTGCTGCGTATTGACGTACTGCATAGCAGTGTATGTGCGTGTATGTGCGTGTATGTGCGTGTATGTGTGTGTATGTGTGTGTATGTGTGTGTATGTGTGTGTATGTGTGTGTATGTGTGTGTATGTGTGTGTATGTGTGTGTATGTGTGTGTATGTGTGTGTATGTGTGTGTATGTGTGTGTATGTGTGTGTATGTGTGTGTATGTGTGTGTATGTGTGTGTATGTGTGTGTATGTGTGTGTATGTGTGTGTACGTGTGTGCATGTGTGTGTATGTGTGTCAAAGATCATGCTGTAACATCAAAGGCTAGTGGCTATACAGGTAGTAATACAGTCGACCTTACACAACCGTATTGAAAGTGGCGGTTCAGCAGCAACCATCTTCATGGGCAGAGGGACATACATACATGCATCGACCTCACGTCTATGCAAGCCGCCCCGTATGTATCGTATTTTTCCGCCACAGGCGGACAGTGTCTACCAGGTTATCAACAACGTGTTAACTCCGCCACGGACCGTCATGCTGTCCTGGCTCACCCCGCACGTGGGCGCTGACGTGGCAGAGCAAGTCGTGGCGGCGCTGTCAAAGCCAGCATTGGAGGCCGCCATCGTGGATATCGGCAGAGATAAGAAGAAGTAAACAAAGCTTAATTAAATTATTCAAACCGGGATAAACAAGTTAGCGAAACATGCATGAGGCATGTAAGATTTGGCGTCCGTTGATATCGTTCCCTGTATGTGAGTTGGTATGTTTGTATGTATGTCTAGGGCCCCAAAAGAGGGTTGAGGCTCGGCAGAGGTGATGAGGAAAGGCAAGGATGTGTGATGGATGATTGGGGAATGTGTGATGATTCAGAAAGTGCAAGCAGCTCGAGAAGTAATGCTGTACTCGTTTGAAATGATGCAGGTAGGTAACAGGTACTTGGCCATGATGGGTAGAAGAAAACTCCATGGGTAAGGCAGTAGCATGTCTAGTAGTAAAGGAGATGTGTGTACGGAGATATGCATATGTGTGGGGACTGCGGGGCTGCATGCAATCAAAGGTTCTGCGAGATAAGAGTACATTGTACAATGTTACAGAGTATGTGCGGAACATATTGAAAGTTGCAGACCACATGTATTACATTTCTGTACACGTGCCATCGTCGCCTGTCAGGAATATCACAGATAAATCTGCCGTACATGCCGTACATGCATCGTATCAACCAACAAATCTGGTTAGCCGTCTCACACGCATCCCTTTCCAGAAGCGCCAACAAGTAAGCGATAACAAGCAGTTGATTCACAGCTTGTATTATTCATTATTTGCTTATGTAAATATCGCAGACAGAAATATGTGTTGCATGTATGTATTGTATAGAACAACGAGCTGTTATCTGTGCCACTTGTGCGCTATTATATGTAAGTGGGAGATAAATATCACAACGTCATGCACCTACGCCAAGGAATATGTTTTACCGGCGCGTCTTTGTTTGTGTGTATATCGAGACACAGGGACACAGGGTTATGGGCAGACAGGCAGACAGATAGACGACTGACAGACAGATAGACAGACAGACAGACAGATACGACAGTTTGCAACACGGACATGCATTGCGGAGGTAAAAGTAAAAATGCTTCCCTGTGGCAAAACAGGTCTGCGGCGCCGTTAGATACGCGTCCGTCAACACCTTGCTTTGTCGCGAACGACACAAGCCCACGGAAAGGAAAACAGACAGACAGACAGACAGACGGAGAGACGGCCAGTCAGACAAGACAGAGAGACAGACAGACAGACACGCAACGTGCCAGAGACTGACACCCCGCAGACGCACACAGCACACATCAATTTGGCTGCGGTTGCTGCAGCAATACACTACTCAGTACTGTGCAGCAACACAGCAAACCAACGTCCCCATACTCCCCTGCTGCTGCACTGCAGACGACCACCTACTTGTATAATGTGCAGCCCGCTCTCTCCCTCCTTCCCCCCCTTTATACAATCCCCACATCCCCACACCCTAACCGCACACGCCCAAGCCCACGCCCAACGATTATATCAACAGCAGGTAGGCAGTCGGCGCCTAGGAAGGCAACCGCAACCCCAAATCACGCTGCTCCATACCACACCACTAACGGCGTAATCCCAGTATGTACCATGCAGCTATATCGGCCAATGAAAACAAGCGCTATGCACAGCGTGATGCCGTTACGTTGACAAAAACGACAAAAGGGACGAGCGAGTAATAAATTAGCAAAAGCTCCAGCCCCAGATGTTACTGTCTCTTTTTCGCATTCCAACAAAATTCCAGCCATTCCAGCCCTTCCCGAGAAGCTCCAGACCTTATTCAGCCCAGACTGCAACGACTGCACCACCCACCAGGAAGAACATCCGCTCGCGGGTCTTGCGGCGCCCTCTCTCATCACACGGGAATGTTGTAGATGCGGAAGGCCTGCGCAATCCAGTCGTACGCGGTCACAAAGTCCCAGAACGTGACGAAGTCGAGCTTGTCTGTGTGAACAAGGCTGCGGAACAGCCGGATAATCTTGTCAACTTCCAGAGTACTGCAGCCCTGGTTCGCCAAGAAAAGCCGCAGTTCCACCTCACTCAGGCGGCCCTGTGTGCAGTGGGACAGAGAAAGAAGGAAAGGAAAGAAAGGATGGGTTGGGGGATATCTCGGTTGGGGGTTATACAGGGGGGTACAACAATCGTCCCCTAATCGTCCCCTACGTATATAAAGGTCAACGGAAGCGGTCAGCGCATCGTCAGGGAGCCAGGTAGAACAATGGTGATCACCACACGGGTGTACGACACACCTGACGGGGTAGGGTCGCAATCCTGTCGTACAGCGCCACTGCCCGCTGAAGCGCCCGCAGCTTGCGAACCTGCGAGAGGACCCGAGCACAACCAACAGGAAAAGGAAGCTTTTTTTGTAATGAGCACAGGAAAACACAATTTGATTAGTAATCGTCTTTGCCTCATCACAAGATGATGTTTTGTGGTCAGTGCCTTCGCGCCCTGAAACGTTTTCTGATATCCGCACAAATCCGCGGCTAATGGTAACCGCGATAATAAGAACAGTCGCAACGCAACTTTTGGCGATCGACATCACCTTCCCAACCCCCTAAGCCTTCCATAACATGCAACTCCCCAGGATCCACCACCACCACCACCAAATGTGGTCACAGGAAAACCGCCCACAAGGCCCACAAGGTAACCCACCTTATGGCGGGGCAGCAGCAGGCGCACAATCATCTCATCCTCCGTCATGTCCAACAAGTCGACACCTGCGGGAAGAGGAACAGCGCACGAGGAGGGGGGGGGGGGAGGTCAATAAAGGGCTCGGACACAGCCGTGCCGACCAGTAACTGTACAAGTCCGGTGCACTCGACTCACGCGGTCCCCAACCGTTCTCCAACCGTTTTGCAACACTCTCCTCTCAACCGCCAACCGAGGAGAGGACCTACACCTCTTTTATGTAAAAGGACCCCCGACGGCGATTGCCATGCTTTATACTGCACGCAGATGCAACAGTGTGCCCTCTTGCAAAGCCGTACGGCACAGTAAGATACGCCGTACGCCGTACAGTCGATACTGACCTGCCACATGGTGAACCTTGACGGGTCGCAAGTCCAGCTTATCAAAGCCCAAATCCTGCAGGAAGCCAAAAAAGCGTCAAGCCACCGGACCACATATGCTGGTAGTTGGCGTGGGGGACTTGTAGCTTAGGGCAGCTCAACGGGATATAGACCGCTGCTTCTTAAAGAAACAATCGTGGTGATCGCCACTTCATGCCCCTAGATCCCAGCTATGATACAGACATTCCCCCCAGTGATTCCCTCGCCGTCCGTTCCTCGCCCTCACCCGCCCCACCCCCGCCCCACGCCCCCCCCGCGACATGCTACCCCACCTCAACCCCTTCCCCCCACACCTACATACCTACACATACACACATACACACATACCTACATACACACACGCACCTGCAGCAAGGCCACGAGCTCCTCCGAGCTGTAGCGGATCATGTGCTTCCGCTTCAACAGGTCGTTGTCAATCTGAATTACATCACACAGGGACACCGCGGTGAGGGGTTGAAAACACAGAGGGGTGGAAAAGCGCACGCGAGCAGGCCCTACACATAAAAACATTAAAAAAACACATAATGGACAGCGGCGCAAGAATCGATAGATGTGCAATAAAACGACGCAATAAAACGAATGTAGCACTCATCAGGTCAGCACAACAGCGCCGACTGCATCCGGTGGTGGCACCCGCTGGGAAATAGCGGTCCCAACGACGAGAGCAATGCACAGCACAGGTGATCTGTTGCATGGTACACACATGCATAGATAGACATTCGCAGCGCGGGACGGGGGGCTGGGGTTTGCGGGGCTTCAGAGGCGTCACCGCCGCCACTGCTACCCCCGCTGGTGATGTCCCTCCGGGTAAATCCCGCCCTGACCAGACGGGGCTTAGGGTTCTTAATTACAGCAGCAGCAGCACCGCTGCTTTCGCTGCTACGACTGCCACTGCTCCCCTTGCCTGTTGTTATTGCTGCTACTGCTGCTGCTGCTACAGCTATCGAGAACGCTACGTATTCATTAGACCCTCCGGGAACTGGAAGGGGAGCCCCGGGTACGTACGGCAATGTCTAGCCGGGTAGAATTCTACGATAGCAGGGATTAAGTACAAACTACAAGTCCCAAGTACCGTAAAGTCGTACTCAATACGAAGGTGTTATTCCTACGTACAGATATAACGTCTCCAGTACTGCAGGCTTTAGTTTAATACGTTTAATATCCTGTTAATAAAAAATTTCCCAGACTTCCTAACAATCTAAATCATCTCGTAAAACATTTCTAGATCCTCTCGCACCTCGGGCACAGGCCCCAAGCTGTAATCAGAACGCTGTTGCTGCTGCTGATGATGTTCTCCTTCCAACAGAGAAGCCAGTGGCGGAGTGTATCGGGGGGAAACAGTCGAGGCACGGAGGCTGGTGCGTACCGGGCTGGTGACGGAGGCGGAGGCGAATTCTCGCTCCAAAGAAGTCCTGGTGTTCGTGCTGGGGGTGTGCGTGCTACTGAGCGCTGCTGCCAAGGGGGATTTGTAGCGACCGGGAGAGACGGATCGCGCCAGAGCCGAGGCCATGGTGGACGAGTCCCCGGGGCGCCTGTAGCTGTCGGCGGTCGTCGGCCGCAAGCGCGCCTTCGTCGGTGTCGTGTACGACGTGACAGGTGTATAGCTCGTCACATGCACTCGGGGGGTGCCCTCCTCGAAGCGCAGCAGCTCGGGGTCCACACGCCTTGGGTTTAAACAGGTGTTGGTTGAGTTGGTTGAGTTAGTTGAGTTAGTTGAAAAGTAGGTTAGGTGGGCAACATGTTGAATGGGCCAATGCTGCATACAGACGAGCACACACACACTCTCAATACATACACTCCCTCACATACATACATACATGCACACACCTTTCAAAACACGTTGTCGTGTCGTGTCTTGTCGTTCACGCTCCCTTTTTCTTTCCCATCCCCCACCCCCCATCCCTCACCCCACAAACCCCCATCCCATCCGGATACCCCGTCTCTCCGTCGCCCAATCCCACACACTCCCCCACACATGATGATGGCAACTGTACGACGCCCAACCGACACTGCACTGTCGCCACCTCCCCCCCCAACTAACCCGCCGCCGCACACTCCACCCCCAAAACTCCCCACAACCGATCCCTCCGGTCAACTCCAGCCCCGACCTCACCTCACGTTACGAACCACCGAGGTGTTCGCGCGGATCGAGGCAATGACCTCCGCCTGGTTCTTGGTATTGCCGCGGCGCAGACTCATCAGGCAGTAGCGAGCCGCCTCGGCAGTGTACGCGTCAGCCGATACCAGCAAGTCCACCAACAGGTCGATACCACCCTGGTGGTATCAGTGGTGGGCGTTACAGAGTTACATACAGATACGGCTAGTCATGGAAGGGGGAATTTAAAAAGAGAGAGGTCGGGAAAAAGAGGGGAGAGGGAGGGAAGGTGGGGGAAGCCGCGGGAAATACACACGGGTAGGTGGGTGGTCACGGGGGTAGATGTGTTGGGAGACCTCAGGCACGGAGGGCACAGCAAGGGTGGCCAAGGAACGAGGTCCCAGGCAAACCAACCAGTGACGCCAACACCCTAGTAAAACCATGTAAAAACATTCCCAATCCATCCAAAGGTAAAATCTCAAAGACCGCCAACTAGCGTCAGGGGGATTTGGGCGTGAAACGTCAATGCCCTCCAAGAAAAATCTCAATCCCAAAAAAAATCCAACCCCCTAAAAATCTAATCTAAAAAGATCTCAAGGCCCATTGTCGTTAACCCATATTTAAATTCCCATGACAACACGCACAAGAGACCCACCAGGTAGCGCACGCTGTCCTGCACCACAATGTCGCGAGCGGACAGGAGCGACAAGGCGCCCGCAGCAGCCGCCTGCACACTGGACTCGCAGTCGGGTCGCAGCAGCCGCACCAGCGCCCCCACGCCGCCGCCAGACCGCAGAGCCAGGCGGATGTCCAAGTCCTCTGCGCGTCGACAATGTGGGGGGAAGAGGAAGAGCCGACGGGAGTACGGGTGACCCGGGGGGCCGGGGGGGGTGTTGGGGAGGAGGGGATCACCCGGGGTGACACCTCCCCCAGGGAAAAGACTAGCAGACTAGTAGAGCAGTAGAGCGGTACAACCACCACCACCACCACCACCACCCATCAACAACAACAACAACCCCATTTTTTTCAACAGCAGCAGCAGCAACAGGTACAGCTTCTTCTTCTTCTTCTTCCTCTTCTCACCCGCAAGGTTGCCAATCGCATTGGCAATGTTCACAACGACCACCGGCGGGTACAGAGGCGACAGCAACTTCACCAGCACAGGCACGGAGCAGGACTCCGTGAAGGCGGCGGAGGAGCCGGCGCGGGTGGAAAACATGGCCAGGGTCGACGCCCCCAGCTCCAAAACACCCGCATTGCCCTTCGGGGGGGATTGCATTCAGAGGGGGGGGAGATGACGAGTCGGGACCCAGCATACAGTATCTACGACATATGGAACAGGCGATGGTGTCGTACACGCACACGCATTCGGGCCCGTGTTTATTATCACGCTCGTACATATGCACGCACGGGCTATACGCTTGTTGGTGGACTTATACCCAGCACATCGTGTGAGAGAGTACGGCAAGTACGGCAAGTACGACAAGCACGGCAATGTGTTAAGGTTCCCTTTTAGCACATCCACGTGCACATGCCCCTGTTCGTGTCTGTAACCCAATCTTCCAGATTCACTCCTCCTCAAAGCAGTCGGGTTTCTAAAGTTTGTAGTTGCACTAATCCAAATCCAAATTTTCTTAAATTCAAAATTTTAATTATGTTTAATTATGTAAATCCTAATTTTAAACACGTACCTCAGCCGCGTACTTCCCGGGCTCGCTGAAACGGTCCATCGTGCGAGTGGCGTACGCGACCGCGTGCAACATGGTGATGGCGCGCAACGTAGAGTCTGCCAGCAAATCAGCGTCGTACACGGCCTGTGCAACAAAAATTTAAATTTCAAAAAAAAACTGAATCGAAAAACCCGAATTCGCTCATACAGAGGGAAACTCCGTCCGAAATAATTTGTTGTTAAAATAAAGTTCAACATATGCATTGTGCTAAAAGCGAGAGGGCAAGGGAAGGACCAGGGGAGATGGAGGGCAGCGAAAGGGGGAGAGGGAATAGACCACATTATAGACGACAATAGACGACAGGGCTAGGGTCAGCAAGGGAATGCAATCCATCATCAACGTGATGCGGAAGAGACTAGGAAGATGGAGGGGCGGAAGCCTACACCCCGGTCAGTGTGGTGGCGTTGTACGGGTGGTCGGGACCACCACAATCACTGGACCGCACCAACAGCTGCAGCCGTACACTTGGAATGTGTAGCTCTCTTGTAGCGGGGGAGCAAGGGCGGAACCAATCGTGACATTACCCCCCGAGTACGGCATATGCCCCCATACACGCACGGACCTGCAGATGCTCTCTTAGCTCCGTAATGACAATGGCGGCGTCCATGGTGAAGATGGGATTGATCCCGCCGTACTTGTCCTGGAGGCGCTGCAGCAACGCCAGCTGCATACCGCGAGCAAATACACACACACACACACGCACACGCACATTGTACAACATGCGATTGGTGTCGTGCAAATGTACGATACTTTCACGTGGGCATACACGCATGCCATACAGCAAGCAACAAAAAGTAGCGAGAACGTAGAGAAATAATGTGATGCGAGTATACGGATCAGCAGCAATGTACGGCGTTACACGAACCCAAACCCCTCGGTCTCCGTAACCTCAACAGAAGCCTTTGGAGCTCCTTCTCCCCCCCCGGGTTACCTTCTTCCGTTCAGCCTCGTACTCCTCTGCGAGTACGGCACGAGCCTCCAGGGCCTCAACCTACGGAGCCATGACACAACATGACAAAATATCTAGTTACGCAGTGTTGCCCCCTAAGGGGTGCTTGTGTTGTCCTCAAGTTGTCATCAAGTTGTCATCATGCAATTCATTACGTGATTAAGGTCCATATAAGGATCCATATGGGTTAAGTTATTTATCTACTTGCTTCTGAAAGCACAGAGCGCTATGGCATGCCAGGGAGACCGCGTGCGAGCTGGGAATGAAAAGACGAGGCTGGTGGCCGTTAGCGGCGACAGTTACTGCAAGCCGAGGTGATTGTCCAGGTAGTTTGATCAGATCCCTTACCCCGGAACTCGATGACTTACCCGAGCCCGGGTTGCATTGAGCTCCGCAAGGCGCCGCACAGTGAGGCGAGTAAGGTAATCTGCCTCCGCCATTGAGAAGGAAAGCTTTATTTCTTAACAGTATGCTCTGTGTGAACCTGCACGCGGTAACGGAAAGGACCATACAAAATAAACTTGGTAATGTTTTTACTGAATCGTTGCCGGAAGGACAGTGGATGCAACCAAACGAGGATGAAGTGAGGGATAACCTGGCAAAGACAACTGCTGCGACAAGCAGGCATGAAGCCATGGTGCATGGAGTAGCACAGTCAATGGCCTGGACGACCGACACGCCATGCCTCAGTGCACCATTGGCATGTCAAGCATGCGCCCTTTGGCACAACTCCCGACAAACGGTGGCCAATTCACCATGACAAGGCAAAATCAGCGTTATTTGCCCGTATACAAATCATCAGAAGGATGGTGGAAACCGTCCCAGACGATGTCCCGAAGCCAGGTCGAAGATAGTACCTCTTCAACGTACCTCACCGCGCAAGACCTCCCAGCCGGTTTTCAATAAACCCTCGAAATTGCTTATCTTATGTGAGCTGGAGAGCGAGCGGATGTAGGAAATAGCACTTCAAGTACGTGGCTAAATAACTGCTTGTTCACAAATCAAGCCGATGACATGTACCAGGATAAATATGCTTGTCTATGTATGTTCCAAGGGATTTGCGTGCTGCAAATAAACTAGATGTGCGCAAACCGACGCATAAGGCCTACGCTGACTGAAGTAGTTCAGTTTAACCCGAACTCCAAAAACTTCATGTGCTCGCACTACAGTAACGCGAACAGAAGTTTAGTGATTAAGCGTGCAACATCTGGCTGCCTCAGTACCTGGGCTCAGCTGGGCGTTATCAACGCTTGAAACACCTCGACTTCAGCATGAATAAAGCTACAAAAATTTAGAAATTAAAACTCAGTCCGATAGTGTATGCACCAATCCTAGCTGAACTTTTGGGGCACTGTCCCTTCGCGCTGCGTTTGCCCTTATTGTGCCCTCCCCGCCAGTTACCACTGTGGATCAGATTCCTGCCGATGGTCACATCAATTTCAGACCCCTGTTTTGAGGCTCTTTGAAGGCCTGTTCACGTGTTTGGCCGCCGATCAGGGAACTGGACGTGCGCAAAACCCTGCTGACCGCAATCGAGATAGCGCAGACTTGATACGCAGGCTTAGTGCTGAGATGTCGTGCACATTTGTTTTTTGCAGAATGGTATACTTTGTTCTTCCCAAGCTTTGCGCGAGCTGAGGAGCACCATGAGAATGCTTTAGGTGCTTCCAGCCTTTGTCCTTGAGATAGCATTGCGTTGATCCTAAGCTTCAGCTTAGACGCACTCTCCTTTCCGTTCAAACTTCTATGGCTGAGCTTCTTTTTGAGGAGTTGGAGCAGCACTTAGCAGCTACTTACAGGCTGTTGCTTACGCCCCTCGGTAACAGGTGAATCTGTAGAGGCATAACTAGGCAAGCATGGCCTTCTCCTGGCATAACCAGTCGTGAACGCTAGGTTCACCAGGGCAGCGTCTGATGTACTCGTAACCTACATGCATGTGCGTCCGCGTGTGCTCTGACCGTGTGCTCTGACACAGAACTTCAGCTGAGCATCCCTCCGCACCCGGAACCATGCTGACCCATGGTAATCATGTACTGGTGCTAGTCGGCATTCGTTTGCCGGAGTCGTCGGGACATCATTTGTTCGTTGGTTCTAAAACAGTCAAATAACTGTCGCCGAGACGAGCTCGGCAGCCAAACAAACAAATCGCTACACGGACAGTATGTGCGTGTACATAGCAAAGGATTACATTTGCGTCATCGATCAACTCGCAAACGATGGAGGATTGCAACTGACCGCAAGAGGCGATACTCTCAACTCCAACGGTCATACAGTTTATCCTGCAATCCTGCAAATACTTTGCACAACCTCTGGACAAAAATACAGCATGTGAGTTGTGTGATAGACGTAAAGACCGCAGGTATAACATGCACTCCAAATGAGTTGTTACAGGAGTCCCTTGTACGATAATCGATAATTGCGGCACCTGTGGCACCCAACGACGGAAAGCAGATACCTCCACAATCTTAGATGGCCGTCCCTAACCGCTCCGTCGTCGCATTCAGTCTGCTATAACAGCTGAGCGCAAAGGACACAGTAAGCAACGGTTGGGTCAAGCGTTTTCCACCTTTAAAGTCATGGTCCCATCGCATCTCGGACACAAACATTCTTGGCCTATTTTCTGCCCACCATATCTAATGCATACGCCATGTCTTTTCATTCTGCAGGGGAAGCATTCCAGGTCCATAACCTGTGCCAAGCGCTACCGAGGCTAGCATTTAGAAAACTAGATGAGATGCTACAATCCATTGCCCCAATGACTGCACTTAGGCAAATTGATTTGCGGTCAGGGCACCCGCGCAGCTTTATTTCGTGGAAACTGGAAGTGAAATGAATATTGCCCAATTCAAAGCGCCTGAATCTCGTCCTCTCCCTGCATGCATACCAATGGAGAACGCGCACATCACATACGAAAGCACGCGCAGTGTGCGCGATGTAGTAGACACCAGGACAACGATTAACTCACCAAGTGAGCCTGGAACTTTCCTGGCTTCCCCTCGCCAGGAAGGAGGAACTCCACCTTGAATGGAAAATTTGCTGAAAGGATTTTGCCCTTGTAGTGCGTGACGTCCTTGACGAGAGTCCCTTCCATGCCGTTCAGGTCGAGCCCGTCATGATGCTTTGGCGCATGGTACACTTTAACAGCGGCTACAACCTTGACCTTTTGTCCTTCATGAAATGCCCCACTTGTTGCGCCATTTCCTGAGCACCGGATAACTAGCTTAGCACGACTAGCCGACGCGGCTGCGTGGACGCAAATCCCTTGCTGTGCGATCATTGTGGGTAAAAATTGAGAATCAGGACACAACAATCTATGCAACAACACCCTGCTATCACTTATTCGTGTCCGTACGGACTGATCGGCAATGATACAGGAACGCGCGGTCTGTGAAGCATTATTGTGGCCCAGTGTCAACGGTTAAAACAATTGACTAATTTTGCAAAACGATGCTCCCAAAGCTACGCGCGATCCATCGCTCGAGCGACGGCGACCACGCCTGGGCAGAAGCGGTCACCGGCATCAACAGATCTTCGGCGTTGCGGCGACAGGCCTGCCCCGAGGAGAGCCCCTGCACCAAGAACATAGCAAGCAGGAATTGATCAACCGAGGAACAACAGACAGAACGTCAGATTGTACGGCACTGTTGTCGGATTACCTGCGTTGGCCGCCGCGGCACGGGCACTCCCCTGTGCCAAGTAAGTTGCCAGGTCAACCTTCCGTGCCATCTCCGCGGTGAATTCGCTGCACAACAACCAGAGGGAGCCATCAGTTCACGGAGGCGGTTGGTGCACGGCAACAAGAAGCCGATATACATATACACACACACAGACACACACACAGAGACACACACACAGACAGACATACACACCTTCGCAGGACCGCCTCCGTGCGGAAAAGTTTCAGTGCGGCTGTTTGGTCCGCGACCTGGTCTCCTAGCTCACGGACCCTCGTCTCCAGTCCGGCGCGCTCCGCACGTTGCGGCATTGCCGCTACCACTATGTCCTCAACGTCCTGCGCAAACAACATTGAGAGAGATTAAAGGCGCCTGTACTTCTCCTGTGCGACAAAATCCGTGTTTTATATGTGCTTTGTAACCACCTTACTCACCCTCCGGGTGACAATGCCAGCAGTGGCGGCTTCCAGCTCCTGCAATCCAATCACCACACACATTTACACACACACACACACACATTTTCACACACACACACACACGTGCGGTGCAATCGGAGCATTTGTATTTGTGTATAAGGATTGGATTTGGCTGCTGGACTATGGAGTACAGGTCGAGTACCGCACACGCCTCCTTGCACCGCCCCATAGCGCCCCACCCACAGCCCCATAATACCAAATACCTCGGGACCGACTCAAGCTCTTTCGGGAGAAGCCTACTTCTATATGTATGTATGTGACATGACGATTTGCATGCCTTCCTAGCTATCTCTTGCTGTTGCAATTGCCACAGCAACCAGAAGCCACCACCTCCCCCACCTCCGCCTCACCACCACCTAACTGAGTGACCGACGAATGGGCCGGGCGGGGAATACATGACGTGACATGACAGGACACGGCATGACATGGCATCAGAACGCTATGCAAGCAAGTATCACCTGGATTCGGAGCTCCGCAATCTCCATGCGGCTTGTGCTCGCACGGACGCGCCCATCGACCTCACCTCGTAGTGAAGTGAATGCCCGCCGCAACTGGAGGCGGGCGGGGAGGGTTAGGGGTTAGGTTTCGGAGAAGCTCAGCCGGCCATACACTGACAAAAGATTTACAAGTTCAGCACGAATGCGGTGTGTGTGTGGGGGGGGGGGGGACGTCTGTAAAAGCCTGAGGGGGTTACCCCGTGGACGGTATTTAATAACATGTCTGCTCGGCCACAATGCCCTTCTTCGCCACCTTTTGAAAACAATCAGGCACGAGCGCATGAGGCTTGTTGTTTCATACAGGCAACAACTGAACTGAGCTGCGCAACGTTCGCACGCAAGTTTTTAAGTGTAAATTCCGGACCTCGTCGACGCGCGCCGTCATCACGTCGTCCACGTCCTGCTTAATCTGGCGAGTCGCGCTGTCGAGTGCGCTGTCCAGAGAGCTCCGAGTGACTAGATGGTCCTGGCTCCTTCGGTAGTCCTCCAGCCACGCCTTGAGGTACACATGTTTGCACGTGACGGATAAAAGCGCGAAGCAGGGAGAACAGGGAGTCCCGTTACCAACTTCGCACACGTATATTACTCGGGTACTAGAACGTTTTTGCGCCGTACTTTGTCCCTGATCTAATTTGTGGTTTCTAGGCTCTTGGGCCTCTGCTAGCTCGTATGGGTAACTACGCAACCGAGACACACACACATAGACGCACACAAACACATACACATAAACGCACACACACACAAACAAACACACAACAAAGTCATTATCAAAAAGAAAAAAGAAAGAATCTCTTTTAAGAATAGATACATAACCTGTGGAATGGATGGCGAACTCCCAGACAGAACGGTGACAGACCTAACCAAGATGCGTAATGCCATTACATGGCATTACGGTTTACATTGCGACCCAGCGCCTCCCGCATCCTCTCTTGCTATGCGTGGGACATTGCCCGCCAGGTGCCACAGCCTTACCTGCCACCTCGCAAGCTCCTTCTCCCGGAAGTCGTTAAGCTCCTGTCGCATGAGACTACTGGCCACCGTGCTGGCAACTTCCCGCAACGCTGTCTCACTGGCTTTGGAGGCGACCATCTCAGACAGGGCCTAAGGGAACGTGTATCGTGCACACATCACATGGTAACAACGGGAGGGAGTTTGCGTGTGGGAAATGTGGGCGGATGGGAAGGGGGCGCAAATTCGTCCCCCCAAATATCCTGCTTTGGACAAAATAGAATCTGAGCAAAAAAGGAGGGAGGCACGAGAGGCAAGGCATCCACTCAGCTGGCCCGAGCTGAACGCGGAAGGTAAAAAAGAGACAAGTAAGAGATGGACTTGCGCAATGCACAGACTGTGCTTTGACGATATGGACATCATGTACGGCGCTTCCCTTTAGGGGAAGAAGAATTAAAGTTTCCTTTTATTTCCGTTCGTTATGATTGGGACGTGTGTCAAAACGTGGCAGAGAGTGTAGAGACTAGCTGAGATGGGTGGGATGGGATAGGAAGGGTAGTGCGGCATCCTCCGCTCTTTGCTGCCAAGGACTGCGTCATTGATCACACACACACACACGGCACACACGGCACACACGTACACGTACACGTACACCGCACACACGTACACGTACACCGCACACACGTACACGTACACACACGTACACGTACACATACGTACACAGCACACACGTACACGTACACGTACACGTACACCGCACACACGTACATGTACACACACGTACACACACGTACACGTACATGTACACGTACACGTACACGTACATGTACACGTACACGTACACGTACATGTACATGTACACGTACACATACACGTACACGTACATGTACACGTACACATACACGTACACGTACACACACCGCACACACACACATACACAGTGGGTCGCCGCAACCCACAGGCTCATCGCCACCCACACGGACTGCCACCCCGCTCAACACGGACGGACTGCTACACCACACCGCCTTTGTCCCCTTTAATATATAACCCGCACAGCACAGCACCGCACATTCTCCCACGTTCAACTCTTTCCCCGTTGTCACACCGGCTCCTTAAACAGCGTGTACGGCGAAACACCTTGACGCACCTTGACTTCGTCGGATTGTTTACAGTAGAAGGCTTCCAGCGCATCAACCTTCGTTCCGAGCGCCGCGGCCGCAACCTCCACACTTCTGTTCAGCTCGGCTCGCAGCTGCTGGTTGCCCGTACGCCAGGCGGACACCTGAGTGGCGTGTAGTGCCGCAGTCAGTCAGTCCGGTGGTGCACGGGAGGGCGGCAGAGGGCGGCAGAGGGCAGCAGATACAGGGGCAACCCCGCATGATGATTGAGGGCCGTGCTCGAGGATGATGCAAATCGCGAGGTGATGCAAATTCAGTTCGATTCCTGTGACATTGGTCGGGAGTATATTAGGTTTATTAGGGATTGCTGCTGAGGGTGTGGAGATGAGAGGTCTAGTTGATGGACTGGAAGTTTCGCACGCCACCAAGTTCCTCATGGTGGTTTGGTGGTGATGGCTGACGGATACATATACCTATATTGAACGTTCAATATATATATAGTCCATGGGGCCCCCAATCAGGCTTTGACGGACCCCCCCGCCCCATTCGTGCGGAACTTGTACCCTCTAACTTGTAACACATAACTTGTAACTCATAACTTGTAACTCATAACTTGTAACTCCTAACTTGTAACTCCAAACTTGTAACTCATAACTTGTAACTCATAACCTGTAACTCATAACCTGTAACTCCGAACTTTACCAACGAGGGCAAGCGGACCCGGATGACGGGGGCACGGGGTAGTACTACAGATAGAAGACCAGACCAGACGACCCTCGGTGCGTGATCATGATGAGAGGAAGTTAAACCTCCGAAACCAAAGAAAGGAAGGAAGGAAGCTGGCGCGGCTATACCGGCGTAAAAATGCTCGTCGGAAAAGCTTTCCCCGTACCGGCATGCTTTTACTTGCCCACCAAGTTTAACCGGTAACTTGCCGCACAATGCTCCTCTCCCTTCCGCCCCCTTCCGGGGTCCCCAACCCGCCAAGGTCCGTGCGTGTGCCCAAGGCGGGGTTTCACGTCACGTACGACGTACGACGTACGGCATACCTGCGTGGCCAGCTGTTCCTCTATGGCGGTCGTCAACTGCGTCAGCCGATCCTGGAGCTGCACGCGAACACACGGAAGAAAGCAAACGAAAGAGCGAACAAACGCCAAACACTAAAACCCCCCAAAGAAAAAGAAAAGCTGTGAAGTTGAAAGCTAGAGATACAAACCGTGCCGAGCCATGTCGCCGAGTGCCAAGTGTTGACCAAATCACGATCACGCACAATTCAATCTATGGGCTATGCCCCCACATCGGGCTACACTAGCTACCGTCACCCAGACTTGTACTCTGCTTTACCTGGAATGCACGGCGGATTTGATGACACAGAAACAACACACGCGCATTTGATGACACAGAAACAACAACAAAAGGCTGTGATGTCGGCCCTACATGATGACAGCTACATGAGGGCTCTAAAGGTACGGCACGTCCAGTTTACCGCAACCTCCTTAATCACTGAGCTACTTATAACAAAAGCACAACGCCCTTCAACACATGGTGAAACTCCGTCTGCCGTACGCTTCTGGCCATTATTGTTAGGGTCTAACGGCACACGCCACGCTCGGCTCTAGCTCGCATACGCGCCTATAAATGTACGAGTACTGAAATGGTACGACAAACATGCCGTACCTTTTCATGTACCTCCAGCTGTTCCACCACTTGGCGAATGCCGCTCGCCATGCTGTCCAGCCGCGAGTCAAATTGTGTGCGGAGGCAGCCCAGCTCGTCATCCATGGCCTGCGCTGGCAAAGAAGACAAAGCACGAATTTTTTTCGACATTTGTACCGCATCGCGCTGATAGCCTGGATGAACTCCTTGCGCTGCAACCTCTGCGTGGGTCCAAATGCGTCTGTGTGTGTGTGTGTGTGTGTTACGTCCGCTTATGTAAAAAGCAGTAAGCGGTCCCGCCTTAACGAACCAGAAGGTTCCAAGGCGAGAAAGGCTACAAAAGAAGCCAGTGCAAGGACACAAAAGGCCGCGTGCGTTTGAAATGATCTGGACCTGGAGCTCTATAACTCTTTGTTTTGTTGGGTTGTGTGGTGTTGTCGTTATTAAAACCAACTTTTGGGGTTGCATTATCATCCCCCCCCCAGGTGTAACGACCCCCCTAACATACGAGGGGGTCATACGACCGCTCATACGACCCCCCCTCCCCCCGTTCATGTACTCCTGCTGGGCGAGGAGCGCGGGGAGCTTCCTCTCACGTTCAGGAGGCCAGGACAGATCAATGCGGGGCTGCAGGGTGGGTTGCTGCAGGGTGGGTTGCTGTCAGCAGCCCCACCATGATGTAGAGCAGCGCTTCTCCGGCAGTAAGGCTTCCCGCACTGTCCTCGCGCTGTCTCTACAGCAAAACTGCGACGCGCGGTACCTTCCCTCGTATCACATATGAAGCCTTGCCACAGCCAATATCAAGCTTTTATGCCCATACCTACCTTCCGCAGAGTGGCTAGGATGGACGAACGGTCGTTGGAGGCCTTGGTGCGCGAGTCGCTCTGCAGCAGCAAACAATGTTGCACACGCAAACTGGAAAGTTGGCGTAAAATGTGTGAGAAAGAGAGAGAGAGAGAGAGACGCTCCCTCCCTTCTTGCTTCTACCTTCTACACATGCTGAATCGTGTGTGTTTCAAATATTCCGAATCATCAACGCACATGAGGATCGACGATCCCATCCCTTTTTCTCTCGTCCCCCCTTTTCCCGCGTCCCCTTTTCCCTCCTCGGTCCCTCGTCCCAACAAAAGCCTCCTTTGTCCCCTCACCTGCGCTTGCTGTAAGTTGGTGACATGAGAGCCCATTGCCTTGAGCTCTCCCGCCGCATCCCGAATCCCGGACTGCAGGATGCGAACTGCGTCCCACAGCGGTGCCAGCGCCTGATCACAACGCTCACGAACCTGCAGGGCAATATCATATATTTGAAGTATGTAAGTATGTATGTATGTGTGTGCGTGTGCGCCATTTTCAAACCGCCTGGTAGTTCTTCAGATGAACTAGTACTGTCACGAACCTGCCCTCTGGGCTAATCCCAAATATCCAATAGATGCCCGGCTTCCTTCACCTCCTCGCAGTCAGGTCAGGTCAGGTCAGGTCAGATACGTGCATCACCAACACAACTAGCAAGGCAAGGCAAGGCAAGGAAGGGCAGGGCAGACTACCGCCGGGCAGGTGATGTCTTGTCTTGCTCGTTCTCCCTCTTTCTCCCTCTTTCTCCCTCTCCCCGTCTTTTCCCCCCCCCAAATACACACACACAATACACGCACCTCCATGGCGGCCGCCTCCACGAGGTGCTTGACGGTGGTGGTGGTGGGACGGTCTTCCAGGTTACCGCTTACGGCCTAAAACACACATACACACATACACACATACATACATACATACATACATACATACATACATACATACATACTATATGCATACTAGGGTTTGGCACTACTGGTAATGCGCGACCATTGCCCCCGGGAGATCCCGGGATCGATACCCATTAGGGTCAAAAGTCCTTCCGATGGTGGAAGGCATTGCGCCCCTAGTTGATGGACGGTGGTGACCTGGGATAAAGTTAACCTGCGAGCCGACCAGGAATGGAGTTGGGCCGCTGTCGACCCGGCAGATTCCGTTGGATGCTGGTGGTGGGTGCGGAACCTGAGCGATCCACTGAGAAGTTGACTAGGGTGACTGGATGAGGGTGCCCCGAAATACCGGGGAAGGCAGGGTTTCGCAGGGTAGCTGCCACGGGCGAAGATACACCCCCCTGTTTCACACATCATACATACATACATACATACATACATACATACATACATACATACATACATACATACATACATACATACATACATACACGAGGGCTTGCTAAGCAAGGCACCACGTTACGATTTCAAACTACCCCCGGCAGCGTCAGTGTCAAGCAAGAAGACACGGGGTTTCACCTCCACGTGGCTTCACCTCCGCCAGTGCCGTACACAATGCCATGCAATGCAATGCATGACATAACTTCTTTCTCACTCACTCCGCAGCCGCGCCTGCGGGCGCTCACGGCACCCTAGCAGCGGGAAGCGCCTCCCAAAGGGAAACGCCGTCAACCACTCCACTCAGACACGGCTAAGACAACCTGAAATCCAGCAGCTGGTCATGCTCTTGCATTCGAACTTGGAAAGACTGAACAGCCGACATGTTCTGCATCACGACTGCATATAGAAAAGTACCACCGATCGGCGGATGCAGATCCCGTGATGTCATGCCCCCCAGGATACTACTCGGCACACGCCCAGATCGAGGCGGCACTTACGATGGTCAGCCTCTGAATGGCGGACGCGTGTTCATCAGCGCGCTTGAAAGCCGTTGCTGATAGGTTTCTCAGGCCCTCCGCAGTGACGTCCTGCTGACGCGCCAACGTTGCGACCCGCCGCTCCATCTCCCGAGTCAATACATCGTCCGTCTGGTGTTGACCGATGCCGATGAGAGCAAGACGGTCACCAAGACGCACGCGCGCACGGCATGGGTTCAGGGCAGCATGTTCCCGTGGGCCGAAGATAAGGAGGAAGGTGTAGGGGATGTACACATGTGTTGGGGGATCAGTCAGCCATGCGGATAGTGTAAACTGTGTTTGTTAACACAGATAAGCAAAAGAATTTTACAATTTCATGTCATTGCGATGTATTAACTGATCGCAAGGAGACTACCCCTTGCGAAAATCTAAAGCATGGACACAGCAAACCCTAGGGCAATAATGCCGTCGCAGCGGAAGGCTGCTACAACCCATGCGATGCGGAATCCACCCTCCCAAGCAAAGCAGCAAAAAGCAGCAAATCCGAAGCGCAAAAGTCTAACAATGTCGAATTACAGAGACGTGTGAACGCGGGCGACAGCGAGGTGGCAGACATACGGGGATAAAGGCCGGCCCGTGTTTGTCTAGCGGTGTGTGTTGGCAGAGGATGACAAGAGGGTGCTCACCTTGTTGTTAAGTGAGGCCGTCAGGTCGGCAATCGTGCGCTCCAAGAAGGCCAGCTTCGACAGTAACTGCAATGGCCATGGAGATCATGTTAGCTCACCATCACACCACCACTAAGAACAACAACAAAAACAAAAACAACAGCCGCGAGCCCGGCCCTGCGCTGTGTTTCGGGCCCCCGGTCAGGGGGCCCCCGACGGTGCTCGTCCTTTCTCGGGCGCCGACGAGCCGCCCCCAGTGTAGCACCCCCTCGTCAACAACATCAGCACAACAACAGAGCAATACAAAAAGCAACAATAAGACTTCACTAAGAACAACGAGACCTCCATGCATTTCCACTCCGGTTTAAAAAGGAAGATACAGCAGGAGAAGGTCGTCAGCAGCAGCACCGGGGACGCACCGAGGTTCCTGGAGGGCCAGATTGCTCTGCCGCACCCTCCGCCGCCGATGCCACCCCGCCGTACAACGTGTCCTTCACCGCACACACTTCGTGATGGACTCCGCCGATCTTATGTGAGAGCTGGCTCAGCTTGTGGGACTGAAGCTCCAAGGCGCTGCTGGTGCCAGCCACGGCCGTGTTCAAGCCTGCAAACAAGAGCAAACAGAACAGGCAAGGACAAACAAACAAGCGATGGGTGACCCCTAGTCATGGGCGCTGTCAGCTATCGCAGGAGATGAGGTGCGAGGGGGAGGCCGTTCTGCAAAGCTGAAAATAAACCCCCGAGTTCGAGTCCGAGTCCGCGTAAACTTCGAAGGAACGAACAAGCATTCACGTTTGAGTGGATCTGGGACGAAGAAGCAAACGCTGGCCAGGTCAGTGGGGTCAGTTTCGGGGCGGCTTAACTCTAATCACATTTCTTCTTTTATAAACTTCTCGGCATGCAAAGCGTTGTTCCAGATGAAACATGAAGTCGATCGAGCATTTGTGGGTTGCAAAACACGTTTGATGAAAACCCCGAATGTGTCAGCGTGTGTCGGGATGTGAACGCATCTTCGCTGGGCGTTAGGAGCGGGGCGTTATGAGCGGGCGTTAGGAGCGGGCGTTAGGAGCGGGCGTTAGGAGCGCGCGTTAGGAGCGGGCGTTAGGAGCGGGCGTTAGGAGCGGGCGTTAGGAGCGCGCGTTAGGAGACCGAGGCGCCCTGTTATGGGGTGACTCGGCTTCTCAGGAGGGGTGTGTGGCTCAGGAGCGGTGTGTGTGGCTCAGGAAGTGCGCGCTTGGAACGAAGCTGGAACGAAACCCGGGCTGGAACGTGCGGGTTGTGAGTACCTTTCACGGCCTTCTGCAGCTGCTCCGTATCGGCCATGACCTGCCTGACGTGGCCCCGAGTTTCCTCCAGAAGCCTTGTGTTTTGGGATGCAGCAATCGCTTCCTGTAGGAAAGGCAAACAAAAACATCAGTTTTTAGCGGTGGAAACCCTTTTCTGGATCCATTGCAAATTTAACTGTACCGACGTACATACATGCATACATACATACATACAGCAGCAGCGGCAGCAGCAGCAGCATATCCACCCCCGTCACCACCACCACCACCACCAACAACAACAACAACAACGTTGTGAAAATGAGCAACACAGCAGGCTGGACGTGTGTATGTGCGTATGTGTATGTATGTGTGTGTGTGTTCGTGAGTGCAGCAGCAGGTGACCAACCGCAAACTGATTACCAATAAGGATAGCCGTATGTCGGCCTAATGAGGCGAAGCGCAGGAGGCAAAGGAGCAGGGGGCCGGGAAAGCTCCGAAAGGGGTGGGTGACGAAGGTGAGGGTTTCCTCCCTCGATGACCGGACCGAAGCCGAATGTGAACCAGGTTACAAGTTACAAGCTCCACGCACAAGTGCGGGGGTGTCCGTAAAAGCCATTGGGGGGGGGGCCATGAACCGAAGTTGGAGCGTAGAAGTTACGTGTGCACCAGCACCTCGCCCGCCAGGAGACCCCCGGAGTTCCATGTCGCTCAGAGCTCACAACACATACCCACCCGTCTACCTTCATGTCACACAACTCCACACACACCCACACACACGCACCCATACATACCTTCACACACGTACACACACAACTCCACACACAACTCCGCACACACACACACACACACGCACACACAACTCCGCGCACACACACACATACACACACGCACCTGCATCGCCGTGATTGTCTCCTTGAATTGCCCTGACATCTGCCGCATGGCATCCAGTTCCGCCTTCACTTTATCATGCAGCATCTGAAGCATATGGCGGGTTCAGCAACCCAGTAAACGCGGCGCCTAAACAACAACCCAGTTCACCAAAGTACAGCAGTTTTGGTGTAGGCACGGTGGCAGCACCCTCAGCGCCCGCAGGTTCCTATGTTCGCGGAAGCTTCACCCCTTGGGGTTGTACATATCTAAATTGGCCAAATCTCCGGCTGTACGGCTGTAAGGGGGGGTATCAGGCCAGCTTGACAATGCCTTGACACTTGCCGGCTGGTGGCCTTGCCTCCCCGGCGAATGAGCCGCACATCACACAAACTTCATTGAGCCCTAGGGTTAGCCGCTTGCTCTCTGGGCACACACGTCTCCGGGCGCCCGCGCGACTGGCTCCCCGTCCCTATCCACTCCCTCAAGTTGAGGGCCTCAACTCCCCCCCACACACAAGGGTCGTACATTCGGAATCTCGTCATGGACGCATAACCAGCTCATAAACCCCGACGTAGGGCAACATCCTAACCACCTTCTTCCACACAGCTTGTCTGTCTGCTGTACGGCAGTACGGCATGCAGTAATATAACCCCCTGTCCCCCTACGCCTCGGCGGCATGCATTTGGCCTGCTCTGTTAAGCTATATATTTGTTACGTACACCATGCTATATCCGCGCACACGTACCTTGTCCTTGACGCGCATGTCCTCCGCGTTGCGTGTGGTGCCCGCTACCTCCGTCCGCAACTGCCCCACCAGCGTCGCCACCTCATCAGCTAGGCCTTGCGCGACGCCCTCGAACAGGGTGCTGACTCGCAGGGAGTAGTGCTCCAGGGACGCCAAGTCGATTTTGTCTCTGGAGAGCCGGTCTAGGTCGCCGCCCAGGCGCTGAACCTGGTCGTCGTTATGAAAGCCGGGCGAGTTGGCAAACGGACCCCGATATGACCCAGATGTGACCCAGATAGACAGACAGACAGACAGACGGTTAAGGCTGTTTCGGTTGTTGGCTTGTAGTTGTTGTTGGTGGTGGTGCGTTGGTGATGCGTTGGTGGTGGTGTGTGCTCGGGTAGTGGTGGGTTGGTAGTGGTGGTGTTTTGCCCGCACACAGCAGCGCGATTTCCGTGAGGGGGTGATTCCCGTGTGGTCACTTCATCGCCCATCATGTTATTGTCCCTCCAAACACTTTTCGCACACGTTGTAGACAACCAACCACCACAGTTACCCGATCGAACCCTCTAGGGCTCCTGAGGCGGCACAAGAGGACAAGCTCCGGAAATTTAGAGGCTCCGGAACCATGCGCGGCCGAACCATGCACTCTTTGAGCATGCAAGCATGCACCCTGCTGGTGCAGGGATTACGCCGCTGGCTAAAGGGAAAAGATATCGCACACACCCTTTCACACCGCCCACACAGCGCCACAGCCTTCGCCTTCGCCTCATATACAGTACGCCTAGGCGTCAATCCTTATACCGGGAGATAGAGCCGCGCGGACTCTCGCTATATATCGATATCAATCAACCCCTTCGGGAAAAGCAAATCAACTGATAAGGTAAAACAAGCATAACTCACCTGTGCATCAAGGTGGTCGTACACGCCGTGCAGGCGCTTGTCCAGCTCTGCGCTGATGGTGATTCCCGTCTGCGCGGAAAGGGCAGACACCTTGCCTTCCAGGGTTGACTCCACGCCTGGTCAAAAGTATTGTCAAGGCCGGACAGGACGCATGTAAGATAAGATGAAAAAACATGTAAGAGGAAAAATGGCCATTCAGCAACATGTATCAAAAAGGCAGTGAGCTATTGCGCGCGAGAGAGAGACAGGCATCCGTCGCAGAACTGCTACGCCGTCCTAAGCCCGCCCATAACACACACGACAATGTGTTCATGGCCCCCTCTGTAACAGCCTCCCACTCTGTAACAACAGCATTTAATAACCACGATGAGAGGCCCTTGTCCCCAAGACCCGTGGGCCTGTTAAGACCAGCAAAGCGCCACGGACCCCCCCTTGGGTCCTATGGATTATTACTGCTGTGGTACCACTTCCTGGTACGGTGAGTGACGGTGAGTGACGGTCACATTCCAACAGGGCCATGTCTACATGTGCAATAATGGCCCACGTAATGAAGGCTGGAAAGGAAAGAGTCACCATTCGTAATAATAAAACAATGACTTCCACGGTGTCCTTGACTTAAGGACGCCTGGCGCAGGGTGATAAAGAGGACTGGCGCTCACGATGTGGACAAGGACCAGGACAAGGACACGGACTTACTTTGGATGCGTGCCACCAGGCGCTTCTCTGCCTCCTTGACGCGCGAGGTGCTTTCTGCGTCCGCTTCCTGGCGCGTGGATGCTGCAGCGAGTGCCAGCGCCTGCCGAACGCAATCCATCCGGTCGCAGAGGAACAGTAACAGAAACAGGAACGGGACGGGAAGAGGAACGGGACGAGGAACGGGACGAGGGACAGGTCAGGAAGGGGGAGGAAGGAGGCCCTTGCATCGATCAGATGGCCCACTGCATCGTGTAGAATGCAGCCCAGCCGCCGCAACGCCGCCGCGCGAAAAAATGCTCGTCAGGTGTACGGCTCACTGCAGGATCGTTTTGCAGTACAGCTGCTGCTGTACAGTCAAGCAGCCCTCCTAGGCCTCAAGCGAAAAGACGCCACTCGCCCAGGGTAACTATGTCCCTTTGACCCCCTCTGTCCTTTTGAACCACCAGCCGCCACCACCGGGGACCACCAGCCGCCGCCGCCACCGCAATATCGCTCACCCTAAGGGAACTGTACTCCTACTCCCCCGTACATCAATCAACCCAATCGCAATCGCTAAGAGGAGCCCCCAAACGGTCTGGGGCTCCCTACCTAGGTGCTGGCCTCTTCCCTATCGGACACACACACAGACAGACAGACACACAGAAACTCAAGTGCGCTGCCATGGCGTGTGTGCGTGAATACACCATATGCGTGTCAAAAAGCAGCTACGGCTAGCAGCACTCGCAGCAGCGAGAGCTCACATCCCGACAGCTGTAGCTGTAGATACACGCCCTGCTCTTCTTCCACACTCACTCACCCACCCACTCACTTCATCATCCAACTCACCTCACCCTCACCCTCCCACTCACCTCACCCTCCCACTCTCGCCCTCACCTCACTCTTGCCCTCACCCTCCCCCACTCCCTCAGACTCACCCTCACCTCACCCCCACCCTCACTCTCGCCCTCACCTCGGCCTTTGTGCTCATTTCCGCCAGAGCGTCCGTGCGCCGCTCGAGCCGCAGGATACGATCCAGGACTGATCCCGTGGGCACACTCACCACGGCTTTGCTGGGCGATACACAGCTGCCGAACCCCCCGGTATGCCGCCGCGAGCCACCGTACTGGTCAAACCTGCTCCAGGGAGGGGCGTACGGGTGTACGGGCTTCGCATTGACAGCTGGTGGGGAAGGTCGGATGGGGGCTCTGAACTAAGTGCCAAAACTGTGGCTGGGTGAGTTCACGTACACAATATTCGGAGGGAATCCGCGCTCACGAGGCGGCCGAGCAGAGCTGGCCACACACGTAAACGTCGTACCACATATCTCCCAGCGCTACGAGGTGGCTACGGATCCCGCGGTGTCGCCAGCAGCAGCAACAGCAGCACCATCATCAGCATCAGCCGCGAGCTTTAGTAGTATCTTTGCGGAGACCGACAGCATGTCGGCATGTCCGACCAGCCGACATGGCACGGCACGGTTCAGCCGCTGTGGTCGGGGCAGCCACCACGGCACTGTCCCACTGGCACGGCACGGCACTGTCCGACCGACGGCACGGCACTGTCCGATTGCCGCGGTTCAGGAGGTCCACCGGTGCCCACCGATCGCGGTCCCGGGGGATAGAGGTGCAACCCCCCCTATCTTGGCACCCGAGGGCACGGAGGGGCACCCGACCCGCACGGCACTGTCCGACCCGACTGACCGACGCCGTTCTAGAGGCAGTACCCACCGGTACCCACCGATCATAGTCACGGGTCACCGTTCGCAACCCCTATCTGCACCCGAGGGCACGGAGACACCCAACATCACATCGCGTCGCGAGCTACTGCCGTGCTGCGCTGCTTACCCTGATGCGGTGTCCTGCGTGTACGGCAGTCCCAGCCGCGCCTCCATGCTGGTCATCTGGTCCTTTAAGAGCTCCAACCGCGATGCCACGTCGTCATGGGCGTGTGCGGCTGCGCTCTATGTGGAGAGAGGAATGGAGTGAAAGTTCTTTTACCTTCTAATGCGTGTGTGTATGTGTATGTGTGCGTGTGCGTGTGCGTGTTTGTGTATGTGTTTGTGTATGTGTGCATGTTTGTGTATGTGTATGTGTGCGTGTTTGTGTTTGTGTATGTGTGCGTGTTTGTGTATGTGTATGTGTATGTGTGCGTGTTTGTGTATGTGTATGTGTTTGTGTTTGTGTATGTGTATGTGTGCGTGTTTGTGTATGTGTATGTGTATGTGTGCGTGTTTGTGTATGTATATGTGTATGTGTTTGTGTATGTGTGCATGTTTGTGTATGTGTATGTGTGCATGTTTGTGTATGTGTATGTGTGCGTGTTTGTGTATGTGTATGTGTGCGTGTTTGTGTATGTGTGCGTGTTTGTGTATGTGTGCGTGTTTGTGTATGTGTATGTGTGCGTGTTTGTGTATGTGTGTATGTGTTACACCTTGAGTTACGTTGCGCTT